GAAATAAGAGAGTCTATGCAATATGGCATCTTCCAGCAGCTTTAACCAGAGCAAACTACCCTTAATGCAAGAAAAGTCAAGCCTTTACCTTCAGTACATCAAAGCACATCCTGAGATCTGAGCAGAGGGCACAGACTTTCAGCAGCGCGTGGTACGTGAGCAGGTTCAGCTCTTCATTTTTGCTCTTCAGCTGCTGCCGTAGCTTCAGAGCGCTCTGCAGGCCCGAGTCCTTCCAGGGCGACTCAGCACAGGCATTGAACAGGGCTGTGTACGTGGCCTCGGTGGGGGTCAGGCCTCGTTTTTTCATCTAAGGAAAGAGAAGAAGAATTTGAATTGGCTTTTTAGGAAAGGACTTCTAGAATTTCTTAACTTGTTTTTAAGAGTTTCAGGCTAAGAAGGTACAAACACTGACATGGAGGCATTTTGGAGACAAAGTAACATGACCAAATACTTTTAACTTACAAGAGGTAATGAAGGTTTGAGAGAGAAGGTAAACCTACATCATTGTAGAGCCTGAATGCCTTTTTCACGTAGCCAACCCTGCCACAGCCACCAATTAGAACGGTGTAATTGCTTTCTTCTGGCTGCACACGCTCTTCCTTCAGCATCTGCACCTCAAACAGCTCCAGAGCCTCCGCCAGCTACAGGGAAGAGGAAGGTCCATGGTGAGGCAGCAACAGAACCAATTACAATGGATATTAATATACACAGCTGTGGGCAGGTTGTGGTAGAAAGGACAGAGTATGGGATTCCTCACAAATTCTTATTTTACTTCTTTATGTAAAGATATTTTATGATACAGATGGGACAGAGCTGCATCTTTCATCGACACTATTAAAAAAATAAGTAAGTGAAGAGCAGGGAACGAACCTTGTCCTCTTTGATGAGGGCCTTGCATTTTAAGAAGTACCAATACGGGGTGTTCTTAGGGCCGCGTCGAGGTTTCCTCTCCGGTTCTTCCTCCTCTCCCTCTTCTTGAAGCTTTAAATTCTGAAAGCGCGACGTGGTTTTGTGATAATATTTTCTAGAAGAGAATTTATTAGACAGCGTCCCGAACTCCACGCCTTCGTCGTCGTC